TAAGACACTGGGCACCTTACGGCTGAAACACGAGACGGGAGGCTGAATGTTAAAAAAGGAATGCACGCTTAAACCACTAGCACTGACCGCCATTCGCAGACGTTACAGACGGCAAAGGGCACCACCTGCCCAAGGAAGACTGGACACTGGCTGACCACTGACCTGCCGGCTCTGAGAAACCAACAGGGAAAGCAAGTGGGGAGGGGGCTGATATGGTCAGAAACGGCCTCAGCCGACAAAGTAAAACAAAATCCACCAAAACAACAAGCCTCCAACGACCCCATCCAACACCCAGCCAGACGGCGCGTGGCCCGTGAGTGTCTCCTGGGAGGGTTTGGGGCACAGCAGAACGCAGAGGCTTCAAGCTCTCCTGAGAACCCAGTTTTCCTGCACTCCCAGCTCCTCCTAAGACCTGTTCAGACCGGACTGTGCACAGCCAGTGCAGCGGCACCCGGGAACAGGCACCGCAGGACCGACCCCGGACTGGCCACGAGGGAGAACCACAGCCCTGCGCAGAGGGGGCCTGCAACGTGTCCAGCCCTGCTCCATGGTGTGACTTCACGCGGCTCCCCTAGGCTCTGGTGTGGACAGACAGCGGAGAGAGAGGTGAAGCCGCTTGTCCTACACCAGCTCAGGAAGTAAAAACCTACGAGCGAAACAACCAAGCTAAACCCGACTGAGTTCAGACATAGATGAACACATAATGCTGGGCACCTGATAATTCACAGTTCTAACATGTCCTCTCCAACAGACTACAGAAAAGAACCAGCTTTTTAAAAAAACGTGGACATCTTACCTTCCTTCTGCTACTGGTGTTTTATTTACACTTATCTAGAATGGTCCATTTCAGTCACTATTCCTTAAAAACTGCCCCAGGGCGATTCCCCTAACGTGCTTCTTGATGATCTCTTCCCAGCGGCATTAGCGAACAGACAACGCAGCCTCCCCCTCTCCAGCTGCGCCCACCAGCCTTCGCCCCACCTGTCTCAGCACTCTCTCGTGTCTCCTGTTTCCCTCCCCCATATCCATCCTCCTTCGTTGATAACAGAGTCCCCCTCTTCAGGCGCCCTCAGTCTCGGGCTCCAGGGGATGCCACTAAGACCTGGCCAATCAGACCTCTCCATTCTCATCACAGGACCCAGCCCAGACCAATCAAAGCCCTTCCTTGGGTCTTCTGCTGGAAAAGAACCAATAAAATCCCTGACCTTATGAGGCCACAGGAGCCAAAAGCAGAGCACCTTCCATACAGCAGAGAACACTGCCAGGAAGTGCACCAGCACCGCACAGCACACAGACAGGAGACAACAACCGCCTTCTAAGGACTCTCTGAGGCCCCGCATCCAGGCGAGGGGTTCAGAATGCATTAACCTACCCCACTACCCGCGGCCTGCGTGATGACACCGGACTCAGCCCGTTACAGATGAGTCCTCATGAAGAAGGCACAATCCAACCGTCACCTGCAGGCCGCCAGACCCACTTTCCAAGGACGTTCAGAGCACCACAGCTGCGTGAGCTCGTTCCTGCACACAGATCCTGGTGGCAGAGACCCACTGCCTCCAGCCACATGGCCGTCACTATAACTGTCTAGATCCCACTTCTGCAGGCCTGGCTCACCTGTCTGCATGTCCATGGAGGCCTCTGTCTCACAGGGCACACAACATGTGGTTAGTAGCCTGTCAACTCACCAGGACACACCAGCCCTCAGGAGTGTGACACTTTTCTCATTGCCCAGAGGGGCAGGGTCACCCCACAGCTTCTTTCCTCTTTAGTCACCCCCAGATCAAAGCCAGAGATGCTCTTACGTCCAGTGTCCTACCACAGTTTGGAGGGGACACCGTTCAAAATCCCCACATCTACTGCCCCTAGGGCACTGAAGAACATGTTTAGACACCAGTTCCTCCCTCCATCACAGACATGGGGCTGCAGGGACGTGGCCAACACCTGCATGTCCAGCATGTCTCTGCAAGTGGGGTGCTCATTTATCTGAACCTGACTTCACTGACCTCACCAGCTTCTAAATGCTTCAGCTCTGTGAACCCCAAAGATCCTGGCCCATACCCACAAAGGACAAGCCCGCATCCCACCCAGGAAGGAGGAGAGGGTCCTCCCAGCCTCGTCCTCCAGCCCACCTGCTCATGCACGTGGGGCTCTGTGACAGGGGAGGTGCTCCTCTCCAGGGTCCAGCACAGGGCTCAGGACTGAGTCTCTCCCGCCTCTCCAGGGGAAATGGAGGCCATTAAAGAAGGTCATAACATCCATGCCAATCCATCACTTCCACAGAACACCCCAGAAATGCCCTTCAGTAACACATGCGGGCTGCAGTGCAGCTCCCTGGAGAGCATGGGCCTACTGTGGCCAAGCCTGGGGCTCATGCCCAGCGGGAGGGCAGGAGGGGGAGATGGGAGAAAGGAAGGAAAGGAAGCAGGGAGGGAGGACCAAGCAGTTCTAAGTGGGAAAAAAAAAAGGGAAAACCATGTAATAAATTCATATGAAGTACAGTGTTTTCCAAAGAATTTTGAGGCAAGAGGCATTAAAGTCTTGAAAAAGAGGGATCTCTAATAGGGATATCTGCCACAGAATAAGACTTGAAAAAATATTGGGGAATAGTTTCATGAAGATTCAAAAATTTTTTAAAATCAGTCTTGGCCAGAATTAATTTTCAAGCATGATGTGATCCACTTAAAATTCCACTTAATACTTTTTTAAAAAAATAAATTTATTCTGATGAGCATAAGCCACAAGCCTGTAGTACTGGCTTCTCAGGATGCTGAGGTAGGAGAACTGCAAGTTTAAGGTCAGCCTTGGTGATTGTGTCTCAAGTTAAAAAATAAAAAGGGCTGGGAATGTGGCTCTGTGGTAAGTACAGCATCCCTGGGGTGAGTTCTAGTACCAGAAAAGAAAAATACACATACTTTTTGAAGTTTTAAATTTACAGAGAAATTTCTGAAATAATCCACCCTACATCCAAACTCTTCTCTCCATGATACGTCATGCCGATATGTAACATTTGTCACAATTAGTAAACCAATACTGGTAATGTGTTTGAGACTGAAAATTAGACTATTTTACAGAAGAATCCAGAGGGCATGGTGACTTACACCTTAGTCCTAGCTACTGGGGGGCTGAGGTAGGAGGATCACTTGAGCCTGGGAATTGGAGACCAGCCCGGGCCACGTGCTGTGACCAGCTCTCGGTCAACCAACCAGCCAGTAATCAGCAAGAAATAACAGCTAGAAATACCTTCAAAAAGAAATACAGTGCTGGGGGAGCCTCCTCCGCTCTCTTTAGACAGACTGAGCTACAGCAAAGAGGGTCTGAGGCCGGGCAGAGGGGGCCAGGGAGCGGCATGCAGGGAGGAGCCGCGTTCCATGTTGGACGAAGCCAACACCAACGTCGCCAGGGGCGGCGGGAAGGAAGGGCTGTTCCCAGCGGCCTCTGGAGAGGAAGAGTCAAGCTGGACTCCCATCGCCAAGCAAACCCAGGACGAATTAAGGGTAAAAATGTAAAAGATTCATTTTTTTATAAAGCTCAAGAATGAATGTGTATTCCCGATACAATACTGTCAGGCAGGAGAAGTCTTTTTTATACATAATACAGAAACTGAAATACTGCACCGTGCTGTGAGAGGAAGTTTACAGATTTCACCACACAAGCACAGCACTGGCTGAGGTAGCAGCGCTGCGGGGAGCACTGGCCAGGCAGGCCGGAGGCCCTGGGCGCCACCAGCTCAACAGCACCAACACCACCGAAACTTTTTCACTCTAACCCTGATAGGACAAGAAAGCGCTGACGGAGCTGAAACACAAACCAGAAAAAACCTTTCTGGCGCTCTTGGCAAGCGAAAGAGCTGTGGACCCAGGCGCCACACATGGGCGTGGCCGCCGGCTCCGACCCCAAAGCCTCCTGCTCTGCCCCGCCAGGCCTGCAGTTCCCCCCACCCCTTCTTCCCTCTTCTCGCCAGCCACACTGCTGCAGACTGATGTGCACATACAGTTTCCTAAATGAAAATAAGCAAACGAAAGCAATGCTTTAAAAAAGGCCATCTCCTCAGAGTAAGGGATGGTAGCACATGCCTGTAGTCAGCTTGGAAGGCTGAGGCAGGAAGATCTTTGCAAGCTCAAAGCCAGCCCATGCTACACACGTAATGAGTTCAAAGCCAGTCTGAACTATATAGAGAGACTCGGTCTCAAAAAACAAGAAACATCCTAAAAACCATCTCCTGACCTTTGTCCTCCAGCCAGTGACACCATCCTCCCCTCGTCCCTCCGCAGGGACCTAAAGAAAAGAGCAGGTTCTCCAGATCTGCAGCCCAGTCCTGTGTGATCCGACCCCAGCCTCAGCCCCTTCCCCTAATCCATCCTGAGAGCCGCACTTTACTTCTGCAGCTAGAATACACACTGAGATGAACCTTAAGACGTTTGAGAGTTACCTCCGTGCGAAGGGATGGCAGCTGCTTTTCTCTTCTCTATCACGTTTGGGCACTGCCTGAACTGTACAAGTGCCGAGCCTGCATTACTTCCCCAAGGAAAGAGAACGGCCCGCTTTCATTTTAAATAAAGCCATGTCTCAGCCTCCCCGAGCACCCTCTCCGCTGTGTAGACAGGGGAGTGGGAAGTGAGCCTGGATAAAGGGACTGTTTGCGCTTGGGAGAAAGGGACCCTGAAAGATGCTGCGGCCTGGCTTCGGAGAAGCGCTGGGGGGGGGTCTTTGTATTCATTGGTGCATCTTTCCATCGTGTTTTCTAGCGGGAGGCTCTGAGCTTCTCCGGAGCAGAAGACTGCGAGGGTAATAGTGAGCTACCTCAGACAACAGAGGGCCTGAGCACGCCGGCAGGCCCCGCCCCGCCCCCTCTGCCAGCCAATCAGAGTCCCTCCCAGGCTCTGTGAGACACGCCCCATCAGAAGCCCGCCCCACCTTCCCACCAGCTTCCTGGGCGGTTCCTTTCTCACCTCCCTCTGCACACATTTTCCCTCCCTTTATGACGTGAGTGTAACACTTCCTGCTATGAAATGCTTAGATCCCAGCACTTCCAGAGAGGCTGAGGCAGGAGAACTGTTCCGAGTTCGAGGCCAGCCAGGGCTACAAAGTGAGTCTAAGGCCAGGCTGAACTGCATAGCGAGACCATATCAAAAAGACCAAAAAAAAAAAAAAAAAGGATTAGAAACATCCTATACAGATGAAAAGGCCACAAGGCCACCTATGTAAATATCTGTCGGACCTGGGCATGAACACAGGGCCTTTGCCACACTCCTAGACTTTTCCATTTTTTGAGACAGGGTCTTGTCAAATTACCTGACAGGACTCAAATTTGTGATCCTCCTGCCTCAGCCTCCCAAGTCTTGGGACTACAGACCGTAGACTGTGCCAACACACAAGGCTGCAAAAGTGGTAGTAACTGTAAGAAGCTAAGAACATTTTCAGAGTCAAGACTCTTGTGCAGGCTGAAACAGAGGTCGACAATGGCCTCTGACTGCACATTTCTAGAGCTCCACCCAAGCTAAAGCCAGTCCTTCTCAGGAGAGAAAACAACCTGCTGCCAGGTGGGCACAGAGCAAGTTGAACCTGCGGGACACAGTGCCATGCTGCGCAGGTACCGTCACGGGGTCACTGGGGTTACCAGGCAACTGCAGCTTCCCTCCCTTCTGCCGAGGGCGGCAATTGTCAACATTCTGTAATTTACACGAATCACCCCATTTTATAAATCAAGTACATTAGCAAACACATGCTCTGAGACAGAAGGGCAGGAAAGCCTAGCGGCCAGGGAGGGGTGAGAGTGACACAAATTAGAAGCGGAGGCTTCAGAACAAGTCCTCCCTGCAGGAGGACGGGGACAGGAGGCTGAGTCATGACGCTCCCTCTGTCCACTCCACCAGGTTCTCTTTCCTTCCTGGTGTAGCCAAGTCCAGTGGAGGCAAAAAGAAAGCAAGCACTGTTCGGGCAGCACCCACAAGGCGGCGCCAGGGACGAGCAGCCCCACAGGGGCAGAGGCGGAGGGGCAGGGGCCGCCAGTGTCCCGCACGGCCCGGGAGCCAGCCCAGCAGCCAGGCCTCACACAGTGAGGCTCCTCGGTGGCGGTGAGGGTGACAGCGCAGGCGGCCAGGCCGGCTCCCGGCCCAGCTCCTCCGCAAGGGGCCGCGCCTGGCGGGTTTTCTCCAGCCCGGGCTCTGCCCCTCGCGCCCCTATTGTGTCCGCTTCCCACTCCCGCACCCCGCCCAGCCGCTTCCTCCTGGGCTCAGTGACTTGGACCAGGCTCAAGGTTGATGTGTTTCTCCCTTTCACAGGATATTTTCTTCAGAAGACAAAACAGGCAACGGGGCGCCCAGGCTTGCAAGCCGCCTTCGGAAACCAGCAGCCCAGCAGAACCACAGAAGACGTGTGAAGAAAGAAGATGGCTCCAGGTGCCCTGAGCAAGGGCTCAAGGAGGTGGGCTCGTGCGTAGGAAGAGTCCCCAGGAAAGCATATTTCCAGGGCAGGGCCTGCTTTAAAAACCTGATCTTTTTGCTTATGGGGGAAGGAAAGGAAAGTGAGCCTGTAAATCACCTTTCCTCAAACCTCAACCCCAAGGCAGGATTCTCCCATCTGAGGTCTTACAAGCAGCTTGGTCCCAGAGGGCTCCCAGCAGTCAGAAAGGGCCGGAGGGAGGGAGGGGCCGAAGCAGGAAGCAGAGTCCACACGCTCCCACCTCACAGGTTGCTTCCGAGGGCCACAGCCTGGACCCTGTCCCCACCCTGGACCCTGTCCCCACCCTCCTGGCGGGCTCTGCTCCTAGCCTGAGGCAGGATCTCCTCGGACCAGAGCGCACCTGGCAGACCGACCCAGGCCGACCAGCCTCTCCTCTGCAGAGTGGCTTTGGGTTAGGCGGGAGGCGTGCCTTAGTAAAACATCATGACAGCTTATTCCTATGAGAGATGCAGAGATTAGATCTTTTCACTGCAAAATCAGAGTCCAGCCACCAGTCTCCCTGCCACAGGGCTACCCTATCATTGTGACTTCTCACTCTTGACTTCAGGTACGGTCAAAACCCTCGTAAATGAAAGCAAAAAGGTCTCCCTGCTGTTTCCAGGGCTGAGGACTGGCCCGGAGGCCTTCCCACCGAGCTGCAGCCCCAGCCTTCTTTTTTTTTTTTTTTTTCTTTCTAATTTTTGGGACAGGGTCTTGCTAAATCACTAAATTGCCCAGGCCAGACTCTTAACTTGTCATCCTCCTGCTTCAGCCTCCCTGAGTACTGTATCCGGCATGCCCACTATCTAGCTGTAGCTCAGGACATAGTAACAGTGTTTGTGTGGCACGACTAGGAAAGCCAATCCAGCATCAGAGACTGACGTCCCGCCCTAGATGGGCTCCTCTAGGACAGGCAAACTCCCAGGGGAAAGTGCAGACCCACCCCACCAGCTGTCGTTCCTTCCTGGGCGTGGAGAGAGGCCGCATGGTGTCCTCTTAAGAGCTAAAAAGAGGCACACTGGGTCTCAACACAGGCGTGAGGGGAGGCACAAAACCTACCCAGAACGTCACACGCAACATCGGCTAGAACTGACGCGCAGCAGGGCAGACAGCACAGGGTGAGTGCATGGCGCACAGACCTCCGGGCGAACCCTTCCCAGCTGTGCTCACCGCCCCAAATGGTTAGAAGCTACGCTAGGCCCGCCTGGGAGCAGACACAACTGCCGCTGGAGCTGGAGGTGGCTGGGTCTCTCGGCCCTCACCCGACGCGGCCACGGTGCTCAGGTGACCCCGCGAGAGCAGAGGGCGCGGAGCTCCGCGTGGACGCGGGAAGGAGCTGGCTTAGCGTAAATTGTAAGGGACAACTCCACAGTGAGAGAGAGGCGCCAGGAACTTCAACAACTAACGTTTTGTTCTGTAAGAGTTGTCCTTACGTGGGACTTGATGTGGGAACAGCTGATCCCTGAATAAAGCCACCCCATGAAATACATTCTTATTTCTGAAATCCTGTCCCCAGATGTAACAAACCAGCGAACACCCCTCTCATTTTTCTCGTGAAGAAACAGATTGAACAAAACATTTCTCACACTTTGTTCTTCACCCCCACAATGCGGCTGTGACTTCCCAGCACGTGGCACGTATTACGTGTCCAAAGACCTTTAAAAATATCAAAGTTATCTCCACCGTGAGACAACAGGACCCACACGCGCCAGGAAGCCTGATCTGTGAGGCTGAAACTCAGGCAGCCGGCCCCGCTGCGGAGGCGCAGTGGTCAGAAGGGACCCCAGGCTGCCGCTCCGTCTGCTCTTGGCGCTGGGTCTGGGAAGAGTTACTAGATTCTGAGCAGAGGAGCGGGAGCAACAGGAAGGGATCCAGGAGGAAGCGGGGACCAGGAGGCCAAGCTGTTAGCGAGGCTGGGTTGGGAGGAAGGTGGAGTCCACTGGCCACGGCCCTCGGGAGGCGGAGAAGGCTACGCAGGGCCTCTCACAGTGGACTGCAGAGAGGGCTGGGGGTCCCGACACAGTGGCAGCAAGAGTGGGGCGAGGGCTGAGGAGCGGGCCTGACGGCCAGTCCGGGGGTCACCGAGGACCCGGTGCCAACAGGAGCGGAAGGCAGGAGGCCGGTGAGGGCGCACCAGAGGACAAAGGCGAGAGAAGTCGCCTCAGAAACACCCAGCTGCAAGCTACGCGGCTGGGACCTCAAAGCCGCGCCACGTTTAGGGCGGAAAGCCAGCTCTGCCTTGGAGACTGAAAGATGAGCAGAAGAAAGCCAGCTGAAGTGAGTGAGGGAGGAGAGGCCTGGCAACCTAACAAGCGCGAGTGTGACGTGGTTCATGTGATATGGCTCACGTGACATGGCTCACATGACGTGGTTCACGTGATGCGGTTCACGTGACACGGGCTCACACGACGGCAAGTCAACATGAGGAAACAGCAGGGCCCCTGCTTCAAGAGTCCGATGCTGTCTCCCAGGGCTGTGGGGTGGGACGTGACAGTAGCCCCACTGAGGCCACAGCATGCCCGGGACCAATGTGAGGAGTGCCTGAGGGTCGGTTTCCCCATCCCCAGTTCCCGCGTCACCCTAACTCCTGCGTGGCCCCAGGGGCGGCCACCGAGCCATTACACACTCACTTGCCGTGCCCTTCCGTCCATTTCACTGCGCTGGAGCTCCCAGCAGCAACTCTAGAAGAGAAGAAGAGGCGGGGATGGGGGCCCGCGGGCGGTGCTCGGCAGCCCCCACCCGGTCAGGAGGCGCCCTCGAGCCCCAGGGATGAAGCGGGGGTCCGCCTCGAGCGCCCAGCTAAGTCGCAGCTCCACTGGGGCCCGCAGCGTGAGGAGGCGCCACCGAGAGCTGGACAGAGCCCAGGGCTCTGCCGCCCCATCCGGGCTCGGAACGGCAGCTGCACTGCAGAGTGGACGTGGACCAGGGAGGTCCCGTGACTCGGGGAGTGCCAGCCCCTCATCTGTACACGGCACAGCTCCAGCCAGGCATCCCGCGCACTACCAGGGAGCCGTCCCCGCACCCTGGTCTCAAGTCTGGTGCAAAGCAGGCCCCACCTCCACCTGGCACCCCGAGTCTGCACATCCTCCTGCAAAGCCCGGGCGTACGTGCAGAGGGGGCCTCTCTGGCAAATCTCCAGCACACACGTGTGGACCCCACCCTGGGCTCTGTGCTCACAAAGCATTGCTCGATAAGCCGGGCGGCGGTTAACAGCTGTGACCCCACCAGCGAAAACGTCACATTACAGGAGGCGGCAGGGACACCACAGCGCTGAAGAATTCTAAAACATCCGCCGAGGGAAGGTCTCAAAGTATCCCCCCGTTCACAACTCCCTTGTTCCAGACAGAAACATCCCCTGCTGGTATTTCTGAAAACTTCTTGCTGAACACTGGGGGACAGAGGCCAGCATCCTATCCTTTGGAGAGCAAAGAGCACTTTCTAGGACTGTGCCCCTTCCTGGGTGATGACACCTCAAGATGCCTCGGCTTGTACCAAGGGGGCACAGAGGGAGACCTTACTTACCCCTTCAAGGTGGCCCCTAAGTTCATCTGGTTCCAGGTCATGCATTCGAGCTGGGAGGTCATCTGGTATAAGTTGTCACTGTTGGGAAACGTCCAGAGTTATACATAATCAATCTCTCTCTCCCTCTCTCTCTGTCTCTCTCTCTCTCTCACACACACACACACACACACGTTTCTTCCAAAGCTTTGGGGTTTTCGCTTGTCTTCCCAGTGCAAGGCTCTCCAGCTTGCAGCCTCACAGAAGGGTCTTCGCTTCAACCCAAGATCTCAGTCCTGCACCACAGGGGCCGGGAGTGGCTTGGCGGCTTATGCAAGCCTCAGTCCTGCACACACGGGCATTTCCAAAGGTATAAACCTTGCAAGGAAGAGGCTGAAGGGAGGGAAGCGTCCAAAGGCAACACAGGCTGGATAATTCAGCATTAAAGTTAAAGGCCTGGAGCCCAGAGTCAAAAGACAGCAGATTAATTATTCGTGAAGAGGCCATTAAGTTGTTTTAATCAAAAGGATAAGTATCCTGTGGATTACGAGGGCCTGAACAGTCAGTCACCGGTGATGGATGGGCGAGCGCCCAAGGATACGACACACGAAGGGAGGAGGGGGCGAGGGCTTGCCGGCAGAGGAATTATGCTCTGGAAATTTTATAATCTGATGACGATCAAGTAGCATTGTTTTCTAAAATCCAAAAAGGAAAAAACAAGGCCAGTGTTTTACAGTAAGACCCCACAGAGAAACGACACCGGCAACCATGGAAACCAAACAAAGTATGTTCTCTCTCCTTATCTCATTCCTAGAAACGGAGCGCATACACGCTATGATTAAAAACTGCAGTGAAGGCATGTTTTAAAAACTTATCACAGTAAAAGACACACTGCTGTGAATACTCCTCAAAATTCTCCCCCTCGATTTGAGCACACCCATCCCATTGTCCGCGCCACTTCCTGCAGCAGCTCTGGAGTCCTCTTTCCTGAGGGTCTTTAGTCACACTGGTGTGGCTGCCTCAGTGTCCTCAATCGATTCAAAATGTTGACCTCTTGTGGCCATTTGGCTTTGGGGAAGTTGCACAGAGCCTTTCTGGCTGACTAAGGTGGGTAAGGACACAAAGTAATGTTTTCACGAGCTGCCTTTGTGTAGGCTAGTGCTCTGCAGCAGCATTCACCTTATTTTTTATTATAGCTCATAATGACACAAAAAGAGCACTTCCAGAACTGCTTCAGAAAGTGCAGTGAGCGATGGGATAAATGTATTTGAAGCAGGAAAGAGTACTCAGAGGGGGACGCATGGCCCTGTGTCTTTCACTGCATTTGTTTTCATTTAAACATTGACCATACACATATTTTGACCACCGCTTGTAAATCAATTACCAGAAACTTCCTACACTGCCAAGCCCTATTAGGAACACCTTTGGGCCTGAACTGAAATAGTTAACCATGAAATTTGAAACCCAGGAGATTAATGGCTTGCCTGGGAACCTTCGGCCTAAACGTATTACAGAGGGAAATGCTCACCCCACCTTCAGGCAGAAGTGAAAGATAAGAAGCCTCCACTCACTAATGTGTGATATCAGATCGCAAATCCTGGACAGCCTCTGTCTCGTCGAGAAATTCCTTTTGGTTGCTTCACTGGGCAACACTCATTTTTAACTCACAGAGGGTTTTTTCAGGCCACATGAACTGGGGACCAGAGGGGTGAGAGAGATACCAGGGACCAGGAATAAATGAACACCACGCCTGCTCTCTGAGTAGTGTGATAAATCATGGAGGAGTCCATCTGACCCCTGAATCATCGCCCTGAGAACTATCTGGAACTCCTTAGAGGCAGATCCACAGGACAAGGAGGAACTCAGCTTCCAGGAGGGAAGTCTGCCTACGAAGAGCAAAGTGACTTCAAACTCCAAGTATGTGCAATCTCATCAGCCAGCGAGTACCTGGACCCATCACTCCCCCCGCGTCCGGTTGGGCATTATGCTCCCGCAATATCCTACATATCAACGCAAAAAACGATTAGTCTCTCTCAGCAGCTTCCCGGTTTGCAGCAGCCGCCGTGCTGGTCGGTGCCACTGTGTTTCGCAATTCCACAAATTCCTGCTGGAAGGCTGGTGTAATTAATTCCTGAAGGACCCCAACTTTTATTAGAAGAGCCGGCGGCCGCATTCAGCACCAGGAGCTTCCTGAACTCTCCCTGGGCTGACAGTTCATTAATAAGCGGCCTCCTCCACAACCTCACCACTGGTTTTTGTTCTCCTGCGCCTTTTCATCAAGCAATCCATTTATTAATCTCACCATTAATCACGGCCAGCAGGCATTGTATTCCCCAGGTAGCTCTATATTTTTGTCACTGATTTTCAAAAAACTGTTCACCAACTGACATCACTCATCTCCTGCTGACAATTTTCCTAGGCCCTAGTGGGAGGTGGGACCTTTCTGAAATTATGTGACTCTTGCGTAAGACTGAGAACATGAGGACTTGCAAGACAGCCTGGAAAGCAGATGAGTGAGTGGCAGATGCTCCCGTGCGAGGATGAATGAATCCCAAGTATGGGACCGTATGATTTAGGAATTTCCTCAGAATCCGAGCACAGCCCTGCTGATTCCTGGGGCCTCTCTGTGGAAGCATCCCAAAGAAAGAGTATCTTAAGTGTGCTTCCTCAGAAAACAGACTTTCTTGAATACAGGGCCTGGGTCTTCATCCACACATCTTCCCAGCAGCTGCGTAGTGATCACTCTGTCCTGCGCTGTCCAACGTGGTGGGCACGGCCACATGAGACCATCGAGCGCTGGACATTCAGCTGCTGCCACATACTGAAGTAAGACTTTGACTATATTGGGATGAATGCAGTATTTTCAAATTAATTCCACTCTGTCCCATTGCGCCTGGCCACTAGCAAGCACCCAGCCGCGTGCATGGCTTCTATCGTGTGTCTACTGGACGTGGCACTTCACAGGTGTGGGCACCTGGGCGAGTCACAGTTCTACTCGCTGCACCTCGGTGTCTGGTCTAGTAAATGGCAGCATCAAGTCTCAGTTGGCCTCAAGTGCCCTGGATGCTGTGAGGCCCCCGCTGCTCTCTGAAGATGGCACAGACAGCATACTTTAATTTTTCAGCCTACCAAATTTCCCACAGCATGTCACCACTACTGGTGTGGCTCATGTGTGACACCCCTTCGGGGTGGTACCCAATGAGCTCCATCCAGCAGGCAGACTGGGCCCACAAGAGGCACCCACTGTGGGCATCCCAGGTGCCCTGCACCTGCCTGGCCCTTGGGGTGTGCTGGTGCTCTCAAGGAGCCCGTCCTTTCTCTGTTGTGTATGCAATAACAACACTGACCAGACTCGGGGAGCAGCACGGCCAGCCCCGACCCCAGAGAGCTCAAGGACCCAGGACACCCTTGCCCTCCAGGCTCCCTGAGGACAGCGCATCCTCTCACGCACCTACATCCCCCAGACCCTTCTCAGCTCAGCTTGGAAACCTCTAGCAGCAGAGAGAAGTGGGAAAGGACTTTCAAAAAAAAAAAAACCCAAGCAAAACAACAACAAAATAGGGCTGGGGATACAGCACAGCACCTGCCTGGCAAGCACAAGGTCCTAAGTTCGATTCCTAGTACAACAAAAAAAACCCAAGCTACTAATATGTTTCCTGAGGTTGGAGATGGGGTGGAGCCGTGTTACCAGCATCCGTGGATGCGGGGGTCCATCGGGGGCAACCTTTGCTCTGAAGAGAATGACACAAAGCCTGTCTCTGCTGCTGGGAAGGACAGCATGGGCGTTCTAGCTAGAAACCCCAAGCCCAACACGGCTGGCACCGAGGCCCTGGGCGCTGGGTCACATGTGGCTCACCATGAACACCCACAGAAAGGGGCGGCGCCTTGAGGGAAGACGTGTCCTCTGGCAAATGAAGCAGCCAATTGTTACGTGACCACTGCGGGTGCCAGGGGAGATCAGGCGGCTTGGGTCCCAGCGACCCCCCCTTGTCACGTAGGCAGCCCCACCCGCCCGGCTCCCCCAGCCCGGAAGTGAACTCTGAAACCGCAGGCTGCCAAAATATATTCCAAGAACCACCATGTCCTTTGTATGTTTTTAAGTAGATCTTTGAAAAAAAAAAAACACTTGTTTCCTACATAAGACATGTTTGAAGTTGGAGGTAGGGGAGAGAGGGAAGAAACTTCTGTAACCGGGATTAATGCAAGTTGGAGTAAAATAAAAGGAAGTCAGCCCAAGCAAAAAGGGGGACTTAAAAGGAAATCGGTAGTAGATCATATAGAGTTTGTTTTGGCCTGGACCGCAGCATGACTGAGCTCTCGACCTCTGTACAAAAAGAAAGGAAGAAGAAAACCTCAGCTATTATCTAGCCGGGGCTCCTCCCTCTCCAAGGCCGTGTGATTCCAGTGCACGTTCATCTTAAAGTGCGTTCCAAGTGTGTTTACGATGCTGCCGGACAGGAAGACAAGTCCACATCGCCGCTGGAACAGAACCGTCCAGCCTGGCTGAGTGTGCGGCTTCTTCTGCCATGCGGCTGCGCCTGCTGTGTGGGTCTGACACACGGGATCTTGGTAGAAGTGAAATCTCCCGGTGAGATCAAAACCCAAAAATGTCAAACAGGAGAACAGCGGGGATGACCAGCATTGCCGACAGGAGGGTTTCCGGCTCTGCAGCTGACCTGGCCCTGTTCGCCCAGGCACACGCGGAGATGACCACGCAGGGACGTCACGCAGTCCCACTCCCGGCGCCCCGCTGGCCACAGTGAGCAGTTATTTCACACTCGCACTCCTCCCACTGTGACTCCTTTTGAGCTCACAGCTAACTGGAAAACCCCACTGGGGATTCTATTTCTATTCATAAACACTTGGTCAGCACAAGAGGAACAGGGATCTTCGGAGCTCGATGTTCCCCCTTTCCTGGAGGCGAATGCAATGCCACCACCCGGGGAAAAAGCATCAGGCCTCCCCTACCCACCCTCCCCGTGCAGGCGGGCAGCAGCACTCCATGGAGTGAGGACAGTGTGTGCCCTACACGGAGCTGGGCACACAAATAGGGTTTAATTTTTTGAGCTTGAGGGGTTTTCTGATGGACGTCCGTGTCAAAGCCCGGCTGCCAAGGAGCTCTGTGGCCACAAAGGACGCTCCTGCCTGACGCGGGTCGGGATGCCGGCAGCTCCTGCTCCCACGGCTGGAGCAGCGCTCCCTGCTCAAAGGGGCAGGCAGGGCAAGAGGAAAGACCTTCATCTCACTGGTAGCACAGCAGCCAAAGGAAGCTGTGCAAGGGTAATAAGAAAGCAAAAAGAAAAGAGAAAGACTAAATGTTTCCTAAAAAATCAGTGTTCTACTCTGCCCTAAGGAAGGACAAACTTGAGTCATGTGTACAAAAAAGGATGCACCTTGAGACCATAATGTTAACTGAAATAAATCAGACACACAAGCTTGCACACAGCATGCTTTCTCTTACATAAGGAGTCCAAAGAGTAAATAAAGACCAAAATAAAAGATAGGAGCCGGGCATGGTGGCACACTCCTGTAATCTCAGCACTCAGGAGGCTGAGGCAGGAGGACTGATGCAAGTTCAAGTACAAAGTGAGCTCAAGGCCAGCCTGGACTGCATTGTGAGACCCGGACAAGCAGCTCCTGCCCAGTGGGAAGGACAGGTGTGAAGGCTGCTTCCTCCTGAGCTGGGATTCCAGGAGAAAATCCTCCTGCTCCGACAGCACCCATGGGGAAAAGCCAGGCCTGAGTCCCTGCAGCTTGCCTTCCCTGGAGCTAGGGGTGGAACAGACGGACAGTGGATGGACGGCAGGACGGGCACAGCTGCGAGAAACAGCCACGTGCAGCAAGCCTGCAGGCAGATGCTGTCTCCCGCAGGGGTGCAGCCTGCAGTCCACCACCAGACAACACCTGTTCTGCCCCTCACCCTGCCCCCCTCAAGGCCTCAAGTTTCCTCCTCTGCAAAGACGGTGATAACTCTACTGACTATTGTCACGTGGGCCAACAAAGTCCACGTGAGCAAGGCGCCAAGGTCGGCACCACGCGCCTGCGTGACACCTGCCTGCATCCGTCGGCAAGGGCGCTGCCGAGGGCTGTTCCCTGAGTCGTCCAGGTACCCGTGCTTTGGGGCACTGGTGGGCTTCCAAGACAGGGATGGAGAATCCAATCCTAACTCTGGTTTTCGCTGGCTGTGTGACCTTAAGCAAGCTGCCTCAGTCCTCAGCTTACTCTTCATGCATAGAATGGAGGTCCTGGCACCTACCTCTGGGCAGGCAGGAGAGCTAAGAACAGTGAGGGGAAGTGAGCACAGCCTGCTGCGTGTGTGGTGCGCTCCTACGTCCACCCCTCCATGGTCATTGGCGGTCACTGGGTTCTAAAAGGGACAGCATCCGGTTTCAGAATCCTTTGTGACCTTGGGACAAAATTCTTGCCACCTTCAACATTTAGAGGCAGCTGGGAAAACCACCCCAGACTCCCAGGAGGGCCATTTGCTACTCATTCTGTGCATACCCACACCCAGGTGCACACAGCTCCGATCCAGTCTGACCCGGCAGAACAAAAAAAAAACAAAACAAAAAAAAGAGGGGGCTGGGGATTTAGCTCAGCGGCACAGCACCTGCCTGGCAAGCGCAATGTTGTGAGTTCGATTCCCGGTACTGGAAAAAACAAACAAACAAACAAACAAAACAGTCTGACCAGGCAGATCTATTACTTGAGAGAGGGGAGGGCACATGCAGAGGACAAGGGAAAAGCTGGAATTTCAAAACCTTCCTTAAGGTGGACTCGGATCAGACATTGCTTATTTCACATCAGATGTGTTCCAGGCCCCAAGAGTGGGAGACCAGAGCTGTGTACAGGAGAGGGTGCTGAACTGCTGCCTCATGGAGTCTCAGGCCAGCCTTTCTTGGAGGCCCCAAAATTTAGACCCAGAGATCGGTGCACCACCAAGTATCTAAAATGCAAAAGTTAAGCCACTGAGAAATTAATTTACACCTATTTTACTGTTCCTCTAACACTGCGTTCACAAAAACATTTAAATGCACCTCAACCTATTTTTAGGAGGGGAAAAAAGGAAACTGTATAACTGGAGCAATGTCGGTGCGCAGACTCTGTTTTAAGACATCCCTGCACCTGCCTGCACATGACCTGCGCAAAGTGGTCGGGAGATGACGGTAAGGTCACGGTGGGCGGAGCTTCGCACTCAGCGCCACCTCTCCTACAGGCTCAGACGCTCTTTGACATGCTTTGCAAATGTGTGTGAAAGAAGAAAGTGATATTTTTATGAGGTTTGTGTCAAAACAAGAAAGGAGGGATAAGCAAACATTTCTGAAAGATGGAAATGACAAAATCACCTTCTACAGTGGCCAGTGAGAAGCTAGATAAGAAAATGGGAACGTTTTGTACACAAAATGTTATCAGGCCGGGGTGCAGCTTGGCGCCAGATCATCCTAGCAGGGCAGTGCCCCAGATCCAACCTCCAGCACCGCAGAAAAGAAAACAAAATCCAAGGCCCAGGGGTGTAGCTCGGCAGCACAGCACGTGTTTAGCGTGCGGGAGGCCCCGAGTTCGACCCCCGACATGCACACGTGCGCTGAGTGAATTTCCTGCTTCCACAGTGGCCATAATTTCACCCCGCAGGGAGCCCTCGTGGGGAGCTGCTACTGAACCCCAAGTTCATCCCAGACTCCTCCCTTTCTGGGCTGCTCAGCCCTGTGGGGCCCACAGAGCAAGGCTGGCCTAGCGGGGAGCAAGCGGGGTACGTGCAGAGCTGTGCACCGCTCCCGCAAGGGTTGCACCCCCAAGGGCCCCAAGTCCCTGAAGCAAGCCCACTCCCACACCAAAGCCTTCCTCTTCCCTGGCGTGAGAAGGGCAGGACCACAGAACCAGGAGGAAGGAGGGGACCAAGGTCTTCCCGTGGGAACGGTTCCAGGAGCCTCCCCCTGCTACCTGGACAAGAGCAAGGACACCCTGACCGCGGGCACGAACGAGCAGCTCTAGAAGATGGCAGCGGCTGCTGCCATCACGCTGAAGGGGGAGGGGCGGAGGGGGCGGCAGGCGCTCCTGCGGAATCCCAGCGGGCTGCGGGTGCGGGGCGGGACACGGTACCAGGACAGAGCTGGTTCCCAGCAAGGAGGGAGGAGGAGAAGGATGTGGCCCCAGCACTGAGCAGCTTGCACATTGCTCTGCCTCCTCCCCCAGAACAGTGAGCGGATCCCACGATCCGATGAGACATTTGCCGGATTGGATTTTCAAGGCTTACAAAGCCCGCAGGCTCAGGCCTCAGACACAGGGGAAACGCTGCCGCACCCATCTCGAAACTCCCAGGAAGCCAGGGCCCCAGCGCAGGGCCGGGGTCCCCTGCCTCCACCTGGGGCGGGCGGAGGTCCCCAGGCAGCGCTCTTCCTTCCTTCATTACCTCACTGCCTCCTTCCCTTGACGTCAGCCCCCGCCCCGCAGTCCCCGCCAGGAGGGGCTGGGGGCAGCCGGTGTCAGGACCCCGCAGCGCGGGGGAGGGGCAGACAGCAGGCAGCTCCCGGCCCAGCACCCCCAGCCCAGGCGCCCCCAGCCACGGTTACCAGGCAACCCTATCGGGACGCAGGACGCCCGCCAAGTTCACCTAAAGTTGAAGAATATGTCTGCGGGAGAGGAGATGGAGGGGAGCGGAGGAGAGCAGGAGGGAGGCACGGCTGGCGGAAGGGGCACGCACAGGTGGCGCGGCATCCAGGCCCGTGCCCAGCAGGCTGGGCTGGCCTCCACCTGGGTGCTGGGGGCCAGGGTGGGCCAGGGTCGCTGTGCACCGTCTGGGCAGCTCCCTTCCTGCAGCCGGAGGGGTTTGAGGAAGATGGGGCTGGGGGCTCCCACTTTGGTCCCAGAAAGTTAAAAGCCCTGCGGAAAGCCCAGAACGCAGGGTAGCAACTGCCCTTATCTGCACAGACACGGACTGGGAGGTGGCGGCTCGCACTCGCCCCGGGACGCCCGCTTGTCCGACGCCAGCCTACCTGCTGTACGGCGTCCGCAGCAGCAGCGCCTGGCTGCCCGCGCAGCTGTCCGTGGGGGTGTGGCAGCCGTAGACCGGGGGCGGCATGGAGTACTGCTGCTCGCCTGGACAGAGGGCACAGAGGGGCCAGGGTGAGCTGCCTGGGGGCCGTGGGGAGCCGGGGACAAACGGGGGCGCCCCCAGGCAGCCCGACAGATGGGGGCTGGGTGCTTCCCTCCACGCTGCTTCAGCGGTCACCACGTGGCCATCACAAACGCCCGGGTTAGGTGGCGCCTTCCTGATGTCCTCGGGTGCAGGGGGCCCGCAGGGAACCCGCACCCCTCTGCACCCCGTGTCTGCACTCACCCAGCGACCCCTGCTGCCCCATGGGGTCCTCGTGCTTGAAGGAGTGGCTGGGCAGCTGTGCGGCGTGGTGGGAGGGCGTGTGGCCATAGCCGGCTGTCCCATCGAAGGTGACTGTGCTGTACCCTGCAGTGCGGAGAGAAGCACTGGTCAGCAGGCGCTGGGGGGCCTGAGGGCCGCGGGGCCCGAGCCTCGGGGGTCAGGGGTGCAGCAGGGCTTCAGCCACGCTGCTGATCCCACAGCAGTTACCTGGGGACTCACTTCCCAGCTAAACCCAGCCCGCCACCGTTTCCGTCTAAGTCTGTCTCTGCTTCGGAGGGGACCAGCCTTGCGCTCAGCCTCAGAGTTCAGTGCAGAACTCCTCACCGCCGGGCAGAGAAAGTCATTCTCCCCAAAAACCAGTGCGGGGCTCCGGACCAGCAGGGCTGCGTAGTGGCTGCGTAGTCCTTCAGGAGCTCTCGGGTTCACCAGCCCCGGGTTTCGAAGGGACAGAAGTCACCCTGGAGTCCCGTCTGGTCTGGGGGGAAGTGATGGGGCGAGGCGGCCGTGCTCCCCTTCCCGGACCCCGCCACACAGCCTTCCAAGCACGCGGACACTGTCTCCCCACCCTCCACAGCAGTGCGGCCTTCTGCCTCAGTTTCCCTGCCCAGAGGCTCATGCTTCCGGTCTTTCTCGCCTCCCCGGCAAGGTGGAACAAAGGAAATGTCTCCCTTGAGAGCTGAGGTCTCCCGTGACAGCCCTGCTGTGGTTTTAAACGCACACTCCAGAGAGGTTGGAGGAAACGTCCCGGGTAAAGCGCGGCCCTTGAACCCCGGGGTCCCCAATTTCAGGGCTCACCTCCAAACCTCCAGCGAACGGCACAGCTGGCCATGCATCCCCTCCCTCCCTAGGCTACCCGACAGCCCAGGGCCTTCCCCTGCTTGGGGCGCCCAGGCCCCCAGACTCTAAGGCAAAGGCTCCTCCACCCCAGTTCTCTCTCTACGACCTGTGGTCCGGCCTCTGCCATGACAAGTGTCCCAAAAGACGTTCTGGACAGAGCCAGAAGGCCAGTTACCCCTGCCCGGGCTCTGTCCTCACTCTGGGGCTCCAGAGCGCCAGGGAAGGGTGGGCGAATCCGAACAACCCAGGGCGCTGGCCAGCTTAAGCGTCACCCACTCAGCACTGCAGGCTGGCGACTGAAGAGGCCCCCAGGTCTCATCCTCCGCATGGCCCCCAGGGCTCCACTTCTTGCCCGATCAGTGGGCAGAGACGTCCAGTCACACGCACACCCTGGAGGTGGGTGGGCACCCGAGGGTCCCCAGGGCTTGCTCCTGTGTCGGGCCCACGAACCAGCTTACAAGTGAAATTTGGTTCTGAGCACCCAATTTTTCCCAAGTAAAAACCAAATTTCTGGAAGGATTTTTTTTTTTTAAATAAAGAGGAAGAGAAGCAAAACCAAAAAAACTTCAGCAGAGGAACTCTTCCCCGCTGAGCCAATGAGAGACCCGAGGTCCCGCAAGCTCTCAGGAGCGGTTCACGCAAGGCTGAGGATGCAGATTCCAGGCTACAGCCCTTCACCCCAGAATTCCGGCCTCACGATGCCAGTGCCCCCAGATGGGACACAGACCTTGCTGGCCTGACAGCCTCAAGACCCCTCCCTGGGTCTGCAAAAAGCACTGAGAGCAAGACTTTAATTAGCTGCCAGGAGTCAGGGTGATTAGCGAGCCTTCCTCCGGTCCACAGCTCTGGCGCAGCGCTGCAGAGACCCCAGCTCCAAGGTAGCGCCTTTCCCACGGTGAGTGCAGCTGGGCGGGAGCAAGACCTTGACCGAGCTTGCAGGGAAGCCAGCGCTTTCAGCTCCGAGGAGCTGGGACCAGGGGTGTGGAGAGAGGACGGAGCGATGAAGGTGCAGGGAGGGCGGAAAAAGGACAAGTGCAGCTGAGGTGGGACAGGTGACCTTCTCCCCATGAAATATGGCACGGCCGCCTGTGGCATCTTTGGTTCTCGGACAAAGCTGGTCCCAAGCAACCCTTAACCCTCAGACAGCTGGGCGAGGCCCAGGCCTAGTCCTGCGCTAGGGTTCGGAGCTCCAGCCTGGTTGGGGGAGTTGGGAGGGGCCGCAAGCAACCGTCCTTTCTGCTCCCCAAGCCCTGCTTCGGGGCTGGGGTAGAAAAGTCCTCCCTGCCTTCTGCCGCGACGGACTTCCCAATCCTCACGCACTCCACCCGACAAGGAGGGCTCCGTGCACTCCTCTTGGACAGAGGAGACCATCTCAGCGGCGGGGCCCACCGGGATCCCCGCAGCATAGCCCCAGCGTGGCCCGGGTTCAAGCCCCAGACACTTTCTCTTTCAACACCACCAAAGAAATCCCCTGCCAGAAATTAGCGCCTGCAGTCAGCTGCGGGGGTTCAGCAAAGGTCCCCCAGGCAATGGGTGGTCTCTCCCCAGCCTGGCACAGGGTAGGTGCTGAGCATTTGCCATGGAAATGTTCGGAGGATGGGCTGCCAGCTGTATCTAAGAAACAGATTAAAGGAACACTCCGGTAAGAAACAGGGCGGCGGGGGGCGGGTGTGAGTGGCGGGCAGTGGCCTTGCCTGTAACTTGGTCAGGCAGCCCTAGTTGCGGACAGGTACCCAGAGGCAGCCTGGAATTTAGCCTTGGGCTCTGCTGGGATGGAGCTGACACCCGGACTTCCGTGGTTCTGCATTCTTGGGAGAGCAGCAGAGACCCCCAAAACCACGGGAAGAAATGTGGACTCTGAGGGTCAAGGCCGCCCTTGTTGCCCCTGGAGGGAGGTTTGAAGGGGCCTCACACCTCTCCCAGCTGTCAGGTTTAGCCCAAGGCTTCGCAAGCCCGGCCCCCGTTTATGTCCCTATTGGAAGAGAAAAGGGCTCTGGAGGACTGGAACCTGCTTGCAAGTTCTGACCCTGCCCTCTCCTTCGGGCTTCCCCCAGGTGGGGCAGAGAACCGGCTCAACAGAAAGAGAAGACAGGGCCGCAGAAGCGTTCTCCCCCTACGGGGTGCACAGCCAGCTTCTCGCTCGGAGCCGCACTCCTAGATGGCTATGGCTGTGGGCACACACCTGCCGGCTTCTGGCTGTGCCGCTGACCCAGGGAAGTCTGGGTGCTACTGCGATTTGCATTCAGAGTTCTGAGCCCAGAAGTCCCACCGAAACCTCAGGCTGCTCATCTCTGCTCCCCTCTCACAGCTAAGGAAACAGAGGCCTCTCGGTTCAGGGGCACCTGGCTCCTAAATAAAGGTGGTGCGTTAGGAGAACTCCAGCCTCCGATACTGACATAGGGCTGGCCTGACCTGAAACGGTAGAGCATGGCACACTCAACTCAGCAAAGTACAGGAAAGCTGGGCTTAGTGTCCCAGTACTCAGGAGGCTGAGGCAGGAGGATCAACAGGAGTTCTATGTTCCAGGCAACCCTCGGGCATATAGGGAGTTCAAGGCCAGCCTGGACTACACAGCAAGACCTTGTCTTGAAAAATCAAAAACAAAACAGAAAGTACAGGAACACTTTAGACTTGGCCGCGCGGGGTTCCTTAGCCTAGCAGGATTCCTGATGCTTTGGGTGGAAAAGGTGGCTTCGGTTTCCAAAGGACTTGGGGGGCAGGTGCTCCCGGACGGAGGAAGACGAGAGTGGGTGGGGGAACAGAGCCAGGAGTCTTGGGGCTCGCATCACCTGAGCAGCAGCCCACGCCGTGCCCCTTCCGCCTCACACACCTCTCACCAACCGCCCACTCCTGGGCCTGCACCGATTTCTGCTCCAGGAAAAGCGCAGCCATTGTGTCCTAAAATATCGAATCAAACCAAATTAGATTTTCAACAACGAAAAAACCAAACAAGCTCAGCAAAGGCAAAACTCGGTGTCTCCTTGCCTTGCTGGCCCTGAAGAGAGGCTGAGGACGCTGGGCAAGTCGCAGGAGAGGGTACGGAAGCCATCGCGGCTCTAACCCCATCTCAGGAAACTGCCCAGTGGAGCCCCGCACTGTCAGGGATAGGGGCGCTCAGCGCAGAGAGGAGGGCACGCGGGCCTGGTGCCGCCGCCCACAGCAGGACCGGGTCCCTCCGAGCTTGCAGTCGCTAAGTGGGTTGCTTCTGACCCTGCGTGGCGCAGTCCCACTAGACTACCATGCCCAGGTGCTGCACGTGGACGCGGACAGTCCCCAACGCCATCCAGTTGCGGGGCTGCCGCCTTCTTGCGCGCCCAGCCTGGGGATGCCGGCAAGGGCCGATGCCCCAGGCCCGATGCTCGGCGCCCAACACCTGAGAAGCCTACCGCCGGCCCTAAAGCTGTGGAGCCCTGGGAAAACAAACCTGTCCCCAGGCAGAGCCTGACCTACAAGGCGCAGCCGAGAAGCTCCCGGGCTCCAGGGACGCCAGGCGCCTCCCGGCTCCAGCGAACCGTCGGGCAGCGGAGGGAGCCGAAAGCCGGCGCCGCGCGCACTGTCGCCTCCGGGGAGGAGGTGGAAGGCCGGATCGGGGGCGGGAGGGAGCGGCCTGCGAGCGGCTGCGGCCGCGGAGCCCACTCACCCTGGTTGCGGATGGCGGGCTGGCTCTCCAGGCAGCTGGGCAGGTAGGGCGCGTTGGGGAACATCCGGGCCTGGCCCGAGGACGCCTGCGCGGGCGGCGGGGGCCCGAAGGGTCCGTAGCGGCAGGCCCCGGCCGTGCCGGTGAACTGGCCGGAGAAGTGCACGGTGAAGGCGCTCAGGCACTGCTCCTCGTGCGCCTCCGCGCCGCCCCAGCTCGGCTCCTGCTTGATGAACGAGTGCGGCGGCG